GGAGCAAAGTGCGCGTGGTACTTGGGTAAATATGGTAGACTTTCCAAGCTGTGTGAAAGTTCAGGCGACACCTATGTAATAAAATAGGATAATCAATAGCGCTGTATATTAAGCTTAGGAAGTAAAACACTTGAATTGTTTCACTCTTGGGAAATGAAGTTCCAGTGGAAGCTCTTCATGAACTGAGAAGTTGATATGCTTTTCACAGTATTGGAAAGAATATGAGTCTTCTGGTGGGGGGAGAAAGATTCATTGATCCGTCAGCTGGTTGTTGGATCAATAAAGTGTATCTCCGTGAGGTTGGCCCAACTGAGGATCCCAGTTGCTTCACAGCACACCTTCACAATGGTGGAATGTAAGTGAACTCTTCCATTTTTTTTATTGTGAATGTGAAGTGTTCATGACCTTTTCAACCTCCCAGTGACGCCAGACTTGGTGAAGAAGCATGCGGAGCACAATGAAGGATGTCTGGCAACGTTGGAAGAAATAGCTTTGAATCAATTGCATTTGACCTCTGGCCTGGATGTCTTGAACAAGTTTTGTCCTCGATTGAAGATCGTTTACTTGCAAGGAAATCTTATTCAAAAGCTGGGTGAGTTCCTTTGTGGATTGTAGACCATTTAAATTCAAATTTCACGAAATCTGCAATTTCCAGGTAAATTATCGCGTATGAAAAGTTTGGAATATTTGAACGTGGCGTTGAACAATTTATCCGATTTGGAAGGACTGGAAAAGTGCGAAAGCTTGAAGAAACTCGACGTTACTGCAAATTTCATCGACTTACCTTCAAAGTTCCTGGTTTTGAAAAATCTTCCTGTCTTTGAAGAGTTGTGAGTTTTTTTTTTTTGCTGAATACTTTGTTGTGAGTGTTTTTTAGTGAATTATGATTTTATTTTTTATTTTTTGAAGGTTTACCACAGGCAATCCTTGCGAAAAATTCGGCAGATACCGTGAATATTTAACAGCGATTCTTCCGAAGTTGAAATGGCTGAATGGCGAGGAGATTTTACGGTCAGAGCGACTGAAGGCTGAATTAGAGTTTAAGGTTGGTTCGCTGGGTGATGATGTAAAAGCTGAAGAAAATAATTTTGGTGAGTTCATTCTTTGGTCGAAATTATTCAATGATAAACCGTTTGTGATCTGACTTTTTGTTTAGTGATGAGCTCATCATTCAAGGAATTGACTCGACAACGGTGAGTTTTTGTATTTCTTGCCTGATACGATAAAATGTAAAAATCAGGTAATCTGTTTTCAGAGAGGTTCGATGTGAAGCGAAGGCCGAATTAAGAGATCTGCAGAATTCTGAAAAGACTGAAGGAAATCTTCCAAAGGAAGCCCCCAAATTGCGTCTTTTCAAAGATGATGGAACCCCACTGAACGTGAATCAGTCCAAGTTGGATTTCAAATTATCGGATCTTGGCGATTGTTGGGAATTGAAAGTTGGCATTTACAAGTAAGTTTTTTTCAAAATTGCATCCAATTTTTGCGGGTTGAATTTCATCTTTCGAACAACAGGTTCCTGCACACATCCGCAGTTGACATTGACGTAGAAACCAATTATGTGCGGGTTTCTTTCAAAGGAAGTATTCTGCAGCTGAGGCTTGACGAGGAAGTCAGGCCCGACTCGAGTTCTTTTATTCGAAAGTCACATTCTGGAGATGTTTTCATCACAATGCCCAAGGTGAGGAAAATTCATGTTTTGACTCGAAATCTTCGGCACTTGAGATTTTGAAATTGTTTTTCTCTTCAGGTGTTCCCTTCAACAGCAAGAGACCATGGGGATAAAATTGTGGAGATTAAAGATTTTTCGACAGCGAGAAATGTTGGGAAGCGAAATGAGGAAGTGAAAGATTGCAGAACTCGTCTGCTTGAACCGACACATTTGAAAGAAAGCTGGAGAGATATGCTAAAGTTGAATCGAAACCCGGCTTCTGAAGCAGAAGATTTTGTGGATGACCCTTCTGTACCACCCTTGGAATAATATCATGAATTTCAGTTGAATTGTTTTTCAATTCAAACCTGCCGTTTTTCTGCTTTCGATGCACACACCTGAAGGGCATATGAAAGAATTAGCAAGTGTCAAAAAGGATAAGTGCAAAAGTTAGCGTGAAACGAGCACAAAATTTTGTGATTATTTATTTCTAGATGAGGGATAATTATGGAAAATAATTGTTCTTTAAAGTGTTCTCCTAAGTAATTCGAAGCGAAAGTTTAAGAAAAGATGCTTTTTGTGACCATCAAAATTTGAAAGGTAGATCCGTAATTTCCAGAACCTCAACCAAGAAAAGGCAACAAGTCAACAATTTTTTCTGAAACAAAAATTTGGTGCAATATGAAAATATTTTGAAATGTGCTACTTTTCTGTGGTTCTAATACATTATCCCTCTACTGCATACAACCTGGCTCGTGTTTGTGTGCCATTTCGAAATTTTGGAAGACCCACGTTTATACCGTATATATTTTTTAATTTACTCAGGAAAACATGTTTTTTGGACGTAGCCTTATTTTCGTGAGTGGTGCCGACGGGTACAACACGTACCGGATCCCCACCCTGGTACAAACAAGTACCGGGGTTTTGTTGGCGATCTGCGAAGGACGTCGCGATAGTGCCTCTGACATTGGACGCATTGACATTGTGGCCAAGCGCAGTGGGGACGGTGGCAGAACGTGGTCCCAACTGTACATGGTGGTGAGTGGAGGTGGGGACACTGCTGGCAACCCTGCCCCTGTTTTGGATGCCAAAAGTGGACACGTTGTTCTGCCTTTCACGAGGAACCCACGCGATTCTTCTTTTCCGCGGACTGTGCATTTGACTAGAAGCCGGGATGAAGGTGTGACTTGGGAGACGCCGATTGAAATTTCTAGTCAGGTTGGTCACGAGTATTACTTGTGTGTGAAAGTCCTGTCCGAGTGGTTCGTAAGGTTTTTTTTTTTTCAATACTGTACACTGTAAAACCTTGATAAGCCGCGGCCATTTCTTCGTAAGGTTTTTGGCAGTTGACGGGCTTGGTGGCTTATCAAAAAAACTGAATTTGTGTGAAAACCAAGTATAATAGTACTGTACATAAAATTATAATTCTTGCAGAGAAAAATAAAAAATAAACCCTGAGATTGATAAATTATATCTAGCAAATGTTTCCGAAACGTGATCATCTTCTTGTTGGTTTTGATCTTCTTGTTGGTTCTTGTTTGATCTTGATGTCATCTTCTTGTTGGTTTTTTTTTTTTTTTAACTGGAGACCTTTCGCAGAAATTTGAATCTTGTTGGTGGGGCTATCGAAGAGAATATTTGAGTTGTCAATCCAGTAATTTTGGCGGATGGCGTTTTAAAGGGGTTTCCGAGGCTATTATTATGTAAGATTTGTTTTTCAAAATAAATTGGCGAGGGTGGCGGCTTAACGGGGTTTGACTGTACAGTATGAACAAAAATTTATCTGCAACTCCTTGTGTTGCGCGATGTCCTCTTAAACTAAAATCATTGTGGAAACGTCAAGCTTAGCTTCTCGGAATTTGCAAATAGTTCTCCTTTTTTTGTGCAGCCCCGACTAGGGCAACAAACACCTCAACTGCTGAAATGATGAATTATTTTCTTTTAACGTATGTTCGTCAGCATTAATTCTGTAGAGGTTTCTTATACTGCTGTGATATTCGGTGTATAAATTGCCTTCCTCGGGATTTTTGATCCTCTCAAAAATGGATTGCTACTTTTAATGCTTGACGTTTCTCAGTTTCGATTTGAAGTACTGTACTGTATTGGAAATGTCAGCAATGGGGAGGAAATTTCGAGAACATTGCTTGAGAACAATTTTTTCGTCCATCTTCGTACTCATTCACGATGTTCTGAATTTAAAGGATGATGAAATACCTTTTGAGTCGACCTTGTTTTTTTTTTCAAAGATAATTTTGAATCTGAAATAAATTCTGAATTTTTCTAGATAAAACTCGATAATTGGCAGTGGTATGCTACTGGTCCGGTCCATGGGATCCAATCCAAGACGGGTAGATTAATCATTCCGTGTGACCACACTGTGGAAGGGGATCCAGTCAACAAAAACTATTCGCATCTCATGTACAGTGACGATGGAGGCTACAACTGGAAAATAGGCGGTGTAGCTGTTGCCGGCACGAATGAGTGCTCGGTTACTGAGCTGGCAGATGGTAGACTTTGTCTGAACTCTCGTAATGCAATCGGGAAACGCTGCAGGTGAGAATATTAAATCCCACGTCCATCTTCGTCTGCGAAAATTGCTTCTTTTTTGTTTGTTTCAGGTATGTTTGCTTTAGTGATGATGATGGGGAAACCTTGAAGGACGGATTCTGGGATGAAACCCTGATTGAGCCAGTGTGCCAAGGCTCTATCTTGCATCTTCGTCAGAAAATTGGCAAACGCGATTCTGTGTTATTTTCAAATCCGGCGAACAAAACCCTGCGGCTTTTCTACACTGTTCGTGTGAGTTTCGACGATTGCCGGACGTGGGAAGTCAGCAAAACCTTGTATTATGGAGCTTGTGGCTATTCAGACATGACAGAGCTTGCGGATGGAACAATGTGTTGTTTGTATGAGCTGGGATTTGCTTTCAATGAGTGCATGTGTATTAGCTTGGATCAGTTTGACGCGGAATGGCTGATGAATGATGCGAAGGGGACTGATAATTTTGCTAAGAAGATTGGTTTGATGATCACCAGTGTCGCCTGCGAAATTTTGAGGCGCTTCTCGAGATTGTTCCGGTGTTGAAACCGGTCTAATTTATTCTTTTTCCGGCTGTCCGTTTAAGATGGCTGTTGGAGCATTACGCACATTTTTGTTTTTTTTTATTATTATGACGTATTTTAATGAATATTCAACGAGTGCAACAAGGGTTTATGAATTGAGCTGTGATTTGAAGTGCATATTGAAGGAGAATGAGCAGCAATACGGTTCATATATTGCCACCATGTGTTATATATTGTCTTATTTGATGAGATTAGCGCATGAACTAGCGAACATTTGAAATTACAATGTAATTTGTGTCGCATATTTTTGCAGGGGAACGCGAGTGTTACGTTATGTGATTGATAGTGTCCAAAAATTTGGATTTTCTTCCAGGTAAAAATTTCTTGTTTGAAATTTTGATTGAATTCTTGAGAACTGATGATATTTTTGGATGCCATATTTTGATATGGAATATTCAATCGTGCATTTTTTTTCCATTTTCAGGCGTCAAGGACCAGATGAGTGAACGTCGTGATCGTCATTGGTGAGCCTATTTCTGCTTTTTGTCTCCATTCATGTTGAGATGATGATCAGTATTTTCTCCATAAATTTTTGTGATGGCTATGAAAGGCTTAATCTTTTCTGAAGTAAAATTTCCTGCTGAGAAATCTGCAGTATATTCCACGTAGCTGAATCTATGATTTTTATTTTTTAGGGATCACTGGTGAAGAAATCCGTGGAGAAGCGCGTGGAAGAAAGCGGAGAAGTTTTGGTATGTTCTGCATTTTTATTGTGTTTATTATTTATTCAGATGATGAATAATGGTGTCTTGAAAATATTTTCGTGGAGGTTAACCATGGCTTAATCTTTTCTGAAGTTCTAATTCTTTTAATTTGAATATTCTGAGTTATATTTTTGAATAACGAAGGATCTTCCTTTTTAATTTAGGATCACTGAAGCAGTTCGGAAGGATTCGTCTGAGTTTCGGTATGTTTGTTTTCGATTTATTATTATTTTTATTCGATTAAATGATGATCATCGGTTACCAGAATAATTTTTCGTGGAGGGTAACAATGGCTTAATCTTTTCTGAGCCGCAATTTTCTGCTGACAATTAAGAATTTTTAATTGGATTACTGAGGTTTTTTTTTTTTTTTTAGGTCGACTTTTGGGCATTTCGGGAGCTGCATAAAAAGTTTCTTCGGAAATTCTAGGTATGAATTTACATTGTTTTCATTTTTTATTTTTTCAGATGATGAATATAGCTCAGCAGGAGATACATTCGTGGGGGTTATCAATGGCCTAATCTTTTCTGGGGCTCAATTTTGTGCTGAAAATAAAAGAATCGGGATTATTTATTGAATGACAGCGTATTTCTTCTATTTGTTTAGGTCTATCGTTGGGCATTTCGGGAAAGCTTCGTCAAATAGTATCGGTATGTTTTTTTTTCTTCTTCTTTTTTCATTCTTTTTATTGTCGAATGATGAATATCGGTTACCAGAAAATACTTTCGTGGAGGGTAACAATGGCTTAATCTTTTCTGAAGACCCAAGAATTTTTCTAATGAATCATCTGAATTATTTATCCCATCGAAAAATAATTTCTTCAATTATTCCAGAATCTGGGTACAAAATCCTAAAGCTGTGGGAAAGTTTTCGTCCCAAGTCTCGGTAAGTTCATGTCCTTGGTTCATTTTTTTTATTTTTGCGGATGATGATCTCCGGTGTCTTGAAAAATGTTTCGTGGAGGTTAACCATGGCTTAATCTTTTCTGAAATTGCCGCTCAGGAAATTTTCAATTTTTCTTGGTGAACGAGAATGCTGAAAGTTTACTTTTTTGTCAAGTGGGCCATTGTCATGCACAACGACATTATGGAAGGGTCAAACAAGGAGAAACGAATTTTGAAGAAACGAAACAAACTTTTATTCGAATTGGGTTTGTCCAATGCGGTGAACGCGTTGAAAGAAGAGCGGCGTGCGAAAAAGGTTTGTTTTTCTCTGGATCGAAGTGAATGACGTATTTTTGAATCTGTAATTGCTTCACCAGTTGCGGTTAGAAGAAGAAACTCAAGCCGATTGTGAATGCGAAATTAACGAAGAATTCTCCGAAAGCAATCGTGGGGAGACGAACGGCCCCAAAGAAGCAAATGATGTTCTATTGGAGCGGAAAACTTTGAGGGAAACACGGATGGTCAGTTATCTAAGTGAGATTTTGTCTTGAAAAATCGTATTTGAAATTTTGCATGAACCAAAACGATAGTTTTTCTGCGCAGTATGTTATTGGTTTGTAGAAGGAACAAATCTATTCATTCTGTCCGCGAAAACGCGAACAAATGAATTGGAAAATTATTTTAGTTAGCGACTTAGCGTGGACGATTTTCTGAGAACGCTTACTTGTTTTTGAATACTTCCTCACGTATTTTCCTTTCTCAAAGCACAAGAAATTGGACAAATTTTTTTTCGATGCTGTATTTTCTAATGATGTCTTGTTCTATCTAAACTTACATGCGTCTGAATTAAACTTTCTGTCGCACAGAAGAGGAAAAAGGGCTTGAAATTTAAAAAATTTTGTGATTTACATATTTTTGCAGATTTTTGGAAGACTAAGCAGAACAGATACTGGCCTCGAAGCATCATTGGAAGCTGACAATGGGGCGTTAGTTCCCGACAGAGAAATCGAGCCTCTGGCGATGATCGACGTCCAAGCATTGTTTGCTCTCGCCGTCCTCAAGAAACTAGACGTTGTTCAGCCTCGGTGGTGTTCAGTTGATTGTGGAGTTGGAAAGAAACCGCCAAAGAGAGCAGTTGCTGTTCTTGTGTCTGGTGTGAGCGTGGATGACTATAGGTTTGATTTTTCTGGAAGTCTGCTTTTTTTGTTGTTGTTTGTTTGACTGATTGAATAATGATTCCAGGGATTCTCTGGGATTGCAGCAGTTTTTCAGGACATGGGCTGATGCGTGTGCAGAAGTTTTAGCTCCGGCGAGATATTCGTCTTCACTCATGATGGACTTCTCTTGGGAACCTTTGCAGATAAAGAGTCGCAAATCCCCGATTGATGGTCGGTACTTCAAACAAAAATTAAAATATGGATGCACAGTGTTGTACAGTATATATGTTGTGTTTTTTTAGGAATTGTTCGTTGGTCTGCGTTAACGAATACGAAGAAGCTCCTCAGTCCTCTCAGGCGATATTTTCCCATGGAAACCTCTTGCGAGTGAGCTGGTTGAACGTATAATTTCGGATTTTTTTTTTCACGCGATGACATTTTGCCATTAGATGGATGTCGCCTGAATTTTGTAACGTTTATGTTGGGAACAAGTTAGACGAGGCTTAACTGAATAGTGATGCATGCGACATCTTTCTTGGTACTGTATTTGGAAGTGGAGACGACAATATCCTGACTTATCTTGATGCATGAATTTTCAGATCGAAGAAGAGAGCGTTTGAAGAGGAAATGCAGGATCATTTTCAGCGGAGGATTCTGCTGGAACCTGGTATGGCGTGCAAAAAGACGGACTTGTTGCTCAGTGTTGCCACTATGATTGAAGAATGTATCCCTTTGCCTGGAATGTTGTTTCCATCTGCTGAAGCCAAGTCCTTTGCTCTGTCCAAACCCTTGTATGCCGAGGTTAGCGACATTCTTTTTTAAGAATTCAGGATTTCAAAAATTAAATGTGTTACGAGCTGTTCTGCTCGAGTTTTTTTTTTTCAATAAATTAAGCTACTTTGAAATCTTCAGTTTTGAAGTATGATTTTGCTCTCAGGTGACAAAGGATTCCCCTTTGTTTGCTTTGGATTGTGAAATGTGCATAACTGAGGGAGGACGAAGTGAGTTGACCAGGATCGCTATTGTCGACGAGAATTTGCAAGTCGTGTATGAAACGCTGGTGAAACCACGTGCAGAAATCACCAACTATTTGACTGCATTTTCTGGCATAACGGAGGCCCTCTTGAAGGATGTGGAAGTCAGGCTTGAGGATGTGCAAAAGGCTGTGCAGGTGGTTATTCTTGTTCTCGACGCAAGGAGATGCAATATTTCTTAATTTGTTTCTTTCAATTTTGCAGGAATTGTTGCCTAGCGATGCGATTCTCGTGGGGCATTCAATTTGCTCTGACTTACGTGCCCTTCGGCTTTTTCATCCATACCTGATTGATACCAGTTTGATTTACAATATGACTGGCATGAGGGAGAGGAAAACAAAGCTGAAGACACTCAGTTCTGTATACCTGGGTCAGATGATTCAAGCGGACTTGGTTCATGGCCATAACCCTGTTGAAGATGCCACAGCAGCCATGAAATTGGTTTTGCTGAAGCTGCAGCATGACCTTACCTTTGGAGACACTGTTTTGGGAACTTTGCCCGAGTCTGTTTGGAGAAGAATGAAAGACATCACGTCTGATACAAGTGATATGGTGAGGTTTCGTTTGAGGCTAGAGGATTTTCCTTCCACATGTTTGGTTCTTATTTCATTTAGACTCTATTTAGAGAACCCACTTGATTTAAGCGTCCAAAACAAGTACATTATGAGAAATGGACAAACCATGGCCTTTTTGGGATGCATGAAAAAAATATATATAACTGACCTAGCCATACCTGAACCTTTGCTTGTATTGAAACTGAAGCTTAAACTGAACCTAAGATTAACTGATCCTAAGCTTTAAGTGAACCCAAGCTTTAACTGAATCTAAGCTTTAACTGAATCTAAGCTTTAACTGAATCTAAGCTTTAACTGAATCTAAGCTTTAACTGAACCTAAGCTTTAACTGAACCTTAGCTTTTACTGAACCTTAGCTTTTACTGAACCTTATCTTCAACTGAACCTAATCTTATGCAGTATTGAAATTGAAGCTTCAACTGAACCTATGCTTATACTGAACCTATGCTTATAATTAACCTATGCTTATACTTAACATATGCTTACACTTAACCTATGCTTACACTGAACCTAAGCTCTTACTGAACCTAACTTAATTATAAATTTAACCTAGAACTAAACCTAACCTAATGATGAACCTAATATGATAGTAAACTTCACCTAATACTAAACCTATTGCCTAATACAGTAATAGCAACCTAATACTGAATCTAACTCAGTACAGAACCCAACCCAAGACCATTCTCCACTCAATACCTTGCTGAATCAATTATCTTACCCGACAAAATACCTTACCCTATCGTATGTCAAAATCAATACTAAGCATAAAGCCTCCTAAAATGACCATTGATCATTGTAATTCGTTTCCCTTTTTATTGATGTCGAGACATGGCTTCCTGAACGTTAAAGAAAAAGTAGCACCGATCGAGTAGCCATGAAACAAATTTAAATATTGAGAGAATTTTTTTTGCGCAGGATTTGCATCCCGAGCAAAGCACGTTGGAAATGCTGATGGAACACAAGAAAGCTGTGGTGGTGATGGGGCCGTTGGACATTATGCAACGATACAGGGATCGTTGTGCAGATCGTGGCCAGGAAAAGAAACTTAATTTGATCAGCTCCAGTTGCCAACCTCGACTGGTGCAAGCAGCTGCAGAAAATGTGAACCAGCATGACGCTAGCGTGATTCATTTGTTGCCTGATAGAATTGCTCTGGAAAATCCGACTACGATCCAAAACTGCAGAAAGGTGACTGGGGTTTTCATTTTTTCCTTCTCTTTTTACGAGAGGCTTTCAAACGTTATCTAACTTTCAAAGGGAACATATAAACGTTGAACATTTTTTTAATGCTGAAAAAGAATTTGTTACTTTTATCTCTTTCCATTTGAAATTTTTCGATCGAATTTTATTCATTCGTGAATTTGATAGAAACACTACAGTAATTTATCTTCTTTTGGTCGTTCGAAAAAACAATCGGCCGTGGGGATTGAAAGTTGTACATATCAGTGGTCTACGAAAGCCCGAGAGGAATAGGAGGAAAATATTTTGAATCTATTTTTTAGAATTCGAACAATAAACCGCCCACTTCTAAAGGCTTTTTTTGACACAGCATCAACTAAGCGAAAACGAAGCGATTTATTTTTAAATAAAACGTAAAATCCACTTTAACGTCCTAAGCAACCTCTCCTAAATCAAAAGCTGTGAGACGGGAACTCTCTTTATGGTGATCTTCAGTGGTTCAAGACGCGTGAATGGTGCTTGCTTTGTTGGAATCAAGACCAATGCGTGATCCGAAGTGCTGTTTTGATTTTCCACTGTTGAAGTAAACTTTTGATGAGAGGCGCGGGAGTAAAATCTTTTGATTACCTCGACATGCGTTTCATTTTTAGTTGACGTCTTTGTGTTATTTTTTGTGTATATGTCTCGCAGGTTTGGTTGGCTTTTGTTGAGTGAAATGAGTTTGTGGCTTGGAGTGAAAAGTGTTTTGCAATGGGGATTGTACCAGGAATCGAGGTTGATTCATCCTTTGCAACTGTGGTAGGTATTGTCTTGGTAGTGTTAGATGTTGTGAGAAGAAGATAAATGGAAAGTCCTATTAATTCGCTTGATCAGGTTGCAGTTGTACACACAATCCCTGTTGAACATCTCCTGGCTGGGAGACCCAAAGTTCGCATTCTTCACTCTGTTTCCTTTGTGTTTTGCGGCTGATGGCAGAGTTGGAACGCAAGTCGCATTTGTTACAGCTTTATCCGAAGCCTGGAATTTGATGCTGAAATGGTGAATTTTCTGATCTGATCATTGATGGGACGATTTCAATTTAAAAAAAGAGTGACTTCCCGATTCCCTCAGGCTTCTCTCTGAAGACAGACCTTATTGGTGGATTCCAGAGAATATTGGACAGTATGACGAAGTGCCTGTGCCAAAGCAATTCCCTGTGACGTGTGAAACTGGTCCTGGATCCCCTTCAGGACATGTGATGGTATCAGCAGCAGTGTGGTGCATTATAGTGAATAACTCTGTTGTGTTGCAAACCTGGGCGAATGTTGTCACCTGTGGAATGTACCCAATGGGTTCAGGTGGTGAGAAGAAGGACAGCGGTGGGATCTTGAGAGGGATCCTCTTGGGATTTTTGGTGCTCATTGGTGTCTCCAGGGTGTTTATTGGTGCACATTTTCCTCACCAATGTTTTCTTGGATTTTTGATTGGTGAGGAATGACATTGCCTGATAACCACTGTTGATTTAGGTCGTAGGGAGGGAAATGTATTCAACACAATTCAGGTGGACCAGAGATTGTTAACAAGATTGAAAGTTCAACTGAAAAAATTACTGATAAACTCAACTCCATTTTGATTCTGGAAATTGTGCTCCCGAATTGACGCAATTTGTGGGAAATTTGAGGAAACAAACATGAAAATCCCAAGTTTGCTTTGTTCTTATAGTCAATATGTTAGGTCATGTTAACCTGATTACGGTATGAAAAATATAAATGAAAAAGCATCCAAATCAAAAAGTCTGCAAAGTTTAAAGTTCTGCAATTTATAATTCAACTGTTCATATTCTTAGATGTAGATGTTGTGTCAAATGGCTGTACAGTCTATAGTAATGCATATTACAGTAACATAAAATTAGGCATCATTTGATTGAATTTTCATTTCCTCCCAAATTAATAGCTCGTCTATTTCTTCATTACAGCGTGTTGTCAACTAAAATTTACCCGACAACTCTGTGATGAATGCTGTCGCTGTGTGTGATGGTTTTGTATTTCTCCCCAGGTGATTATATTGGAAGGAAAGCTTTAAATTCTCCGGTGACCAGTAAGACAGCTTTGAAGTACGCGACATTGTTCCCTGTTTTGACAGTCATCATCTACGGGTATGTTTTGCGGAAATTGTACGCACTGGACCCCAACTGGTCTCTCAACTTGGCGTACAAACACTGCTTGGATGAAACTTGGGTGAAACCAGACACGACGCCATTTTCCTCTCTCGCCCGTGCGACGGCCATTTTCCTCGCATTGTATTTCTCATCATTGCCTCGTCAAACACTTTCTTCGTCTCGTTTGGATGCCGTACTTGTGGGTGTGACAGCGATGAGTTTGTCTGTGGGCGCGCAATTTGCACTGACGAGTTTAGGTGGGACAACGAGTGGTGTTTTGTACTATTTTGGATCTTTTGGGATAATTTTTGGATTTGTTTTTGGGGTTTTTCGTGTGAGGGGGTTTTTGTTGAAGAAGATCTGGTGACTCATACGCCCTCTGATTGTTGAGAAAGAAAAGGAACGGATGATGAGCCGTTTCTTGAGGCTAAATCTGCAGGGTTTTTTCCGCGAGTTATCTGTGATGAGAGCTGGTATCCGGTGCTTGCCTCGATATTGTAGTGGACTTCGGGAGGAGAAATGAATCGAAATCAATTTTGAGTCTGGAATTGGTTTGCATGAGTACATCATCCAGCATAACAATTTTATTAATTTTGTATGTGCTCTGAATATCCTTTCAAAGATCCAGCAATGCTGTATCTTGAAATTAATTTATTTTAAGGGTTTGGACTTATGTAATAACAGGGATGGCGAACAACACATTTCTGACCATTTCACGATTTAAAAGAATTTTAGAAAAGCATCTTATTTACTTGTCTCTACAACAATTTTCTCTGCATAACATTTGTGTATGCCCATGCAAAGGGTTATCCCAACCATCTTTTAGAAATTATCCACAGGAAATGTTTCTGGTTCCCTAAATTTTGTTGCAGAGAAGTCAACCTGACTTGGTTGAGAGACTGCATGCATGAGGAATGTAAGTTTGTTCATCTCCGAACCGTAAACTCATTATGTTTAAACTTCGTCAGATAGCGTATAAGAAGAAAATACTTCGTTTTTGACTCACGTTAATGTCATGTCTTGTTAAGTCATGAGGGCGTAACATGTTATGTACATGTGTACGGTATACAAAAAACTTAATGCCAGAGAAAAATTGCCTTCCGCCAGGGGGCAGCTGTGTCTCTAGCCTATCCCAGAAGTTGGCCCTTGCAAGGAACGACCTTCGTCAATCCGATGGTAGCAGTGGAGAGAGAAAGTGGGAATTTGTCTACGCGCTGTTTTTATAAGAGTGGGTGGCATTCACGAAGCGCGATACTTTCTTGCGCCTCAACTTTGCGAGACGAAACTTGACCGCATACTGAATCTTTTGCGAACAGACATAGATCAGAAATGGCTGTGCGACTTCCCGCGTGTGTGATCGACAACGGCACCGGTTACACATTCGATCCGAAACGGCCCTTATTTCTTGGCGTCAAGTAGTATGGCAGTTGGTAGCGACACTTTCTTAGTTGAGCACAACCTCTGCGTCGTTGCGCGGCATAACCGTTTCCTCACCTACTGGATCTGATCTTCATCGGCGATGAAGCTTTCGAAGCCGGTTCGGGGTATTCTGTTAAATACCCAGTTCGTCATGGACTCGTTGAAGACTGGGACCTCATGGAGCTCTTCTGGGAGCAGTGCATCTTCAAATACCTTCGAGCAGAGCCCGAAGACCATTACTTCATTTTGACGGAACCGCCTCTGAACACGCCGGAAAATAGGTACAGTATTCTCTAGTCAAATTATTTCTTTTCGTTTCGAGGATTCAACAATTATTTGTCTGTATGTAGAGAATACACAGCAGAAATCATGTTCGAGTCTTTCAACGTTCCTGGATTGTATATCGCTGTTCAAGCCGTCCTCGCTCTCGCGGCTTCTTGGACCTCTCGTCAAATAGGGGAGCGAACACTTACAGGAACTGTGATAGACTCCGGAGATGGTGTGACGCACGTTATTCCGGTGGCCGATGGATATGTGATCGGAAGTTGTATAAAACACATTCCGATCGCCGGAAGAAATGTTACTTCGTTCATCCAAAGCCTTCTTCGTGATCGTGAAGTTGGCAAAGGGGGCCTTGTTAGGTACCTCTGCCGTTTTCGCTAGTTTCTCGCTATAACGATGTAAACAGGACTATAGCGGTTCCTCATGCGGTTCATACTGAGCCTAGTTCGAGCTAAGTATTTCCACTGCAACATGAACTGTGGTCGAGAGGGAGTTGACTGAAGTCCTGATTTTATGTTATTCTTTCTAGACTTATGATGGCATGAATGCAGTTACGAAGCAACCTTTTACGATTGACGTTGGCTATGAGCGGTTCCTTGGGCCGGAGATCTTCTTCCATCCTGAATTCGCTATCTGATTTTATGTTATTCTTTCTAGACTTATGATGGCATGAATGCAGTTACGAAGCAACCTTTTACGATTGACGTTGGCTATGAGCGGTTCCTTGGGCCGGAGATCTTCTTCCATCCTGAATTCGCTAATGCGCAGTACACAACGCCAATTAGCGAAGTGGTCGACGAAGTGATACAAAATTGTCCCATTGATGCCCGTCGTCCCCTTTACAACAACATCGTGCTCTCCGGAGGCTCGACTATGTTCCGAGATTTCGGTCGCCGTTTGCAACGCGATGTAAAGCGTTCAGTGGATAAACGTTTGCAAATGAGCGAGATATTGAGTGGTGGGAACTTGAAACCGAAGCCAATTGATGTACAAGTGATTACACATCACATGCAACGCTATGCGGTCTGGTTCGGGGGTTCAATGTTGGGTTCGACCCCGGAGTTTTACTCTGTCTGTCACACGAAGGCGCAGTATGAGGAATGCGGACCCAGTATTTGTCGGCATAACCCGGTTTTCGGAACTATGACTTAATTGGTACTTCCTGTTGTCCTTTTTTCCGTGATTCGTTTTCACCCCTGTTATTCGTGGTTTGATTGGTCGGGCCAGCGAGAGAAAAATATGTTAGGCGAGCAATAAATAATTAAGCGGGAAGAACAATTCTTCTCACTAGTGCCTGCTGTGGATTATGTGACAAACGAGCATGTTTCAATGACACGCGATCTTGTTCACTGTTTTTGTGAGCATGCTCTTTTGTCTCTTATCCCCTCCTGAAACATCCGTTTTGGTGTTGAAACTGGAACCGTTGAGTTTTCATTATTGGCTTCAGTTTCACTGTTTTTCGGCTATCCGTAATTTCAAAACTCGTTCTGCGGATTTTATTTCAATGTTTTGCTAGCATCGTCGTTGTTTTTTCCTGATTAATTTTTACACAGTGCGTTAGAACCAAGCGCTGCTTTCGCGTATGTTTTCATTGTACAGGTGTTCATGCGCGAAGACTTCACTTCATCGACAGTAGATAGCTCCTGGGAATTTTGTTCTTTTGATTGTTTGTATCGCACTTGATTCATTCCGAATTTTACGCGGTTGCTTTACGTGGATATTTATTCGCTTTTATTGCTTTTGTTGGAAACAACGACGTGTTTTCAAGTGCCGCTCCTTTCGTTGTTCAGGGCTGGTCGACTACGAAGGGTTTCATACGTGGATGGGTTGGTTTTTAGGTTTTGTCAAGTTTTATTCCTCCCCTTTGCGGATGGAGATCCTCATAATCCTTCATAGCGTAAGATACAATGCCCTATTTCTTCGTTTTTCGGATACCCCGGTTAAAAGAATTTTAATTATTCCCTCATCACTGTGAGGAATTTATTTGTTACCTGTCAGTAATGTTGATGACCAATTATTGTATGATTATTGACAAATTGTATTTGTGAATATGTTCCAAATTAAGCAGCCATGCTCATATACAAATTTTTCTAGCTTAGGCAGTTCTTCGTTGGTGATACTAAATGTGAAAGTGGTCTTTGAATGTCAAGTGCGGAGTAAAAAGTTTTCCAATTTATGGATGCAATTGAAGAAAATAATGAATGATGAACAGAGGCTTGCATAAACTATTGTTGTTGATTCTATGTTTGGTTTGCAGACTTTTCACTGAAAAAGTAAGGTTCCAAACAAACTTCGGAAGCAGTATTTTCTCATTAAGAATGAAGTGTTAGATTCCTTTGTTCTGCCTTTGAAACCTTTTTTGCATGCCGGGCTATCTCAGAGTTGGTTTATGCAAAAAAAAGACGAGTAACAGAATATCCACGTGGAAAATTTTTTTCCTGCTGGGAGAAGGTGATCACATAACGAATGCATCCCACGTACCATTTTTGTCACGAGTACCCTAAGTGCAGAAATGTATAACTGAGAATTCTGAAGTGACAAATTTATAAAATTGTCATGCCATGGTCAACAATTCTGAATGAGCTAGGAAAAAGAAATCATAGATACAGTATTTACAGACCTGAAATACGTGCAGCCACTTGAAAAGTGAGTAAGTCCTATATTCGTCAGAAGAAAGGCCAATTGTGGGGTTTTCAGCTAGAACTGTGGTGCAGCAGTGTTTTTTAGCTTGTCAAATGAAACTTTTTCTGTTCTGGGCAAGCATTTGTGTTTGAAAATTAAGGAAATTAATTTTTTATGAAGAAAACATTACAGTATTTATTATCCATATGAAATATATTTGCCAACTAAAAGAAACCCAGCTATGGATCAGTTTTTTTTTATGCAGGAGGACCATTGTTTTCATTCTTCTCTGGATTTTAGTGAATCCTGAGAATTGTCAAATCGATGGGAAGTCCTTAGCACTTGCAGTGCGATGAAGTTCTTCCAATTATTTGTGTTCAAAATCTTTTGTCCAACTATCTGGAAATAATACCAAGATTTGTATTGATTGTATCCACATTTTCATGGAGGTCTCATTCCACTCTTCATTGGCTTTTATATTTTATATTTAATTCTCACCTTGATGAAATCTCGCTTGTGCTGATGTTCTGTTGCATGCATATTTAGAATGCGGTCAACTTCCATCATGTACCGAAAGGATTAATTCAATATAATGATGAGAAAATCGTGTTAGACAATTTATTGTAGCATGTTTACTCTAGGAGCACATGTAAATTTCAGACTAAGCAAGAAAGAAATTCTGAAGAATGAATCCTTGTTGGTTATGGAACAAAACTTGCCAACATATATGAGTCGCCTAGAAAATTATTTTGCGTGCTAGAATTTGATGAATCATTTTTTTGGATTGTACGACAGAAATATTCAAGGAAGCTTTCATTTCACATGGAAGCTGAATCATTGATGGGATGACTTAACAATAAGAAATGTTGGTGCTCAGCGCAACGCATGGTTGAAAGCAAAGCCTCCTGCATAAAATGTTTGCCGTTTTTGTTGCATCTTCCATGCAGATGTCGCATTTCCTTTCATATCATTGTATATAAACCTGCGAAAATTGTTTTCAAGTCAATACATGCCAGGTAAAGTTTCAAGCTCCTCAAGTTGGAACTCCTGATAAAAGGATTGCCCCAAAGCAGCAAGTGCTGAATAATCCTGGTAGTGAGACACACATGCCTCTGGAGTATTTTTTTCTTTGGTATCTTCCATCGTCTTTTGTTGTTGATCAGAGACGAGTTACTTCATGAAGCTTCTTTAATTTTCCGTGTGCCCAACAGTATTTGTATAGTTGAGAAATACTCAATGGATTCATCCCTAGTTCGCAAGGATGTAGAGTACATGGAAAATTTGACAAATGTAGTACTGATCTGATGAATTGGCCCGGAGGTGAGCAACATTCCTTGAAGCAGTTGACATCTGCTCTATGGTAAATCTCCAGCTCTTAATATGGCGATGACCGTTCGGTTTTCTTCTAGTGTTACCAATCCCACGAGCTAAAACAAAGAAGTCGGAAACGTATTTTGGGTTGTACGGCCTATAATAACGCTATTTCGAAACAATTCAGAAATGACATGTTTGTTTTTTCAAACGGATATATATGTTGATGAGCTGGAACTCGAACTCCCTTTCAGATACACTCACCTAATCTTTGTGAGAAATGGCAAGACTAGTTAGTTGGAACCGGGAAAAGCGCCTAGGTCAGGGCCGCGCGGGGACATCCGGTTGCAGGATGTGTGGTGTTCCAGCTGTGATCAAAGCGGGACAGTCCCTGGAAATTTTCTTTAGTGGGTCATCTCCATTAATTTTGCGCGCGTGGAAACAGTTTTATCCCTTGCCGGCTCCGGTGCTGGACTCAGAGATTTTCAGGTGGATTCAAGCAGTGCGTATACCGTAGATCATATTCCGTATTGGACGTGTGAATAATCTTCCCCCGAACCAAAATATTTTCTGCACTGTAAATATTTCATTTGTAAGATCTACTTAGATTACCTTTACATCTTTTTTTCTGAGGATTCTGAGCTGAAGAGAGGCGAACAGTGACGAAGACCGTTTTTTGAAGTTGGGAGCTTATTTCCGATCCGAATGCCTCGAAATAGCATCAGTTATTCCTGCACGGATGGAATAATGGTTTTGTTTTGAATAATTTATGTGGGGAGGTGAATAAGTTACCTCCCGAAGGTATCGTCATACCGCTCAGTTTACCGAAACGGGAAGATGCGGTGCTTAACGGGATGGTGCCTTGAGAGACGCTCCGACTTATATTCAGTTTAAGTGGTTTCAGATGTGGTGCATGCGAACGATTGGAGAAAGAAAAGCTGGATTTGTGTCGTTGACCGGGAACTTTTATCGCTAATCGTGCATATGATTAGCTCGCGATTACTATCGTCAGGTGGAACGGATTAACTTCTTCTAAGAACTCATGGAATTTTCCGGTGATCGGGGATTATCCCTTTGTTTCCCCAATGACATAAATTGTTTTATTGAGGATTTGAAGTGTAGGAGCTTGAGCCATATAGCGTCTCGCGTCTTTTGTTCGCAGGCGAGTGAAGTGATTTTTAATTTTGTGAGGAACCGGTGTGACTGATGTACGCGAAGCAGAGTGACAGTCCAGAAGAATTCATCGCGTTGAGGAAAAATCCCTCATTTTCCTTGCTCCGGAATGCGTGGAATATGTGATCAGGAATACGCATAGTGTAGGAAGATTCGGAAGCGAAAATGACCGTGTCCGAAGGACATGCGTCCTCTGGACCGTTCACGGAGCTAGTGTCATCTCAGGATTGCGCCGAAATTTGCAAACTGGACACGACCCCACCGCCAAAATCGCGGAAAATCGCCCAACCCACGCTTGCCCAGCTGACCACATGCAGTGCTTCAGGAAAGAAGAAAGAGGTAAGCTCATGATTTCAAAATCTCACGTTTCATTGTTTCAAGTGGTCCTCATATTCGGTCGTGTCGCAATCGCTTTTTTAAATCTGATAAACATCTTGCGGCGCAGTCTCGGGGTCATTGAAATCCAATGCAGTTTCCGAAGCCGCGAAGCTGTTTTTATAAAAGGCCCCAGGATCAAGATTCTGGGTCCGATGCCGGGTTTTTTCCCCTCGGTTTAATAATTTGGAATTTCTGCTTTTGTTTCTATGGAGTTCGTACAGTACAGTATAACTTCATATGCCGTTCGGTACACGGAATTGTGGTAAATGTGTCCGGAGTAAACGTGACTGTTTCCTCGCGGAAGGACGACCGGTATTCCAGTTAATTATCTCTGGCTGATCGACTCAAGGCCTCAAACCTGTCCTTAGAACTGAAGCCTGAGAATAGGTCCATTGTCAAAAAAATTTATTGTATATGCAATGCGTATTTTCGTGAAATTTTGAATTGAAACTTTAGCTCCTTCATGAAGCAAGCGCTTGAGGTTCTCTATTGACGCGTTTTCAAGCTTGAAGGTGAAGCTAATTGTTCTTTTTCTCTCCTAGCAAAGGAATTTTCCAACGCTTTTTTAAAAATTCTTTTTGTCGCGAGCAGGAAGTTACTTTATAAACGTTGTTGCTGTCGTGTTGAAGCCTTAGTTGCGTCCTTAGTTTCAACTGAGCTTCATGTGAAAGAAGCCATGGTGTTATTTGTTGCTTTTAATTTTTGAGAACGGTAAAAGTGCGTGACCCACTGAAATTACCCTAAATGACCCCGTAGTTTACTTATTTCAGAATTCTGAACTGGATCTAAAGCTCGGTTATAATCGTAGCATGAATAAACCTGTACTTTTTTCGATGTAACGAAAATTTATGGTCAGTCGCAATTTCAAAGGTTAGCCGCTTTCAGAATTATTGAGTTGGAAATCGGGTCACGCTTCACTTGCCTCGTACTAAAACAGCTCCGATTTTGTGTTCTATAATTTAAAATAGTTGATATCAATCGCGGCTTTTGTTTGATGTCAAGTGGAAGACTGATACGAAATTGACAAACGCGAAGAAGCATGTTGTTGGAGCGTCAGGTGCCATTCGATTGGCAGAATGCAAACGGAAAATGTCCTGACGTAAGTCATCCTTGAACTTGGATCTCCGAACTGTTGCTTTTGTTGTGATTTTTTTTTGCCAAAACAATTGAAACGCACGCAGGCGATAAAGGTAAAATAAATACTCCTTAGCCCTTTCCGTAGAATTGGAAAAAATATCTTATTCTCGCCCTGCCCGCCCATAGAATCTTTGGCGTGGAAAATAACCAAGCTGTGATCATTTTGGGGCTTTTTGTTCTTGGAAAAACCTGGGGCACAGCGGGATGAGTAAAAAAATGTTGAGATCCGGGTTTTGGGTGTGGGTTGGAGCTTCAGGTGGGTTTATCAAGTCACAGAACCGAGTCGAGTCTACAGTGAAATGTCTACCTAGTGTGCGTGTGTGTTTTTTTTTTCATTGAGCTTCATTCATCTGTGATACAGTATTTAATTTTGTTCCGAGTTTTTTTTTTGAATTTTTATTGGGTCGAGGTGCCCTTTCCAAGTGACCGTCTATGATGGAGTTTTCTTTTTTCTTGTATTGTCGAACCAAGGGAGAAATTGGTGAAAGGCTGGATTTTATCTTTTGAAAGCCTTTATGAGCAAAGATCTTTTTCATTGGAGCAGAGGCCTGTGAATAGAGGATGAAGCTGGATTTTTACTTCGCTTGAAAATTGAAAAAGGTTGCTCTGAAAGTTTGCAGACTTATGTTTTTGTACATTGGGGCCTCGAAATGCGGACATAATCGGTGCTTCGACCATATTGTCCCTATGATGTAATGTCCGCACGTCGGATCACGATTTTTCCATTGACTTCAATGAGGACATGTATTTAATTGGTTCTCCTATTTATAAAAAAATGAGGATAAAGTCCCCCAAAAAGTTGAAGAAACAGAAAATAACTGTGCAGAAGAAAACCACGCATAATCTGATAATTTCGCATGAAGAGGAGACCTAAAAGCAAAGCACAAGCACAAGTCTTTCTCTATGCTCTGCTTGGATGATGGAAAACACGTTTGAAGAAGGATGTGCATAATTATAGCCTATTTTGAATTATGGATCAGAGTTAGCCCATACTAAGATTTATTTTCAATTATTGTGAATGTAATAAATTTGCTTCAAGATTATGAAAATTAAAATTTCGTTGATCTAGAAATGTTGGCAAAGTGTCCATATCTTGTGACCTTGTCTGGATGCTATAGCCCCAATTTTCAGATTGGAGGAAGATTTATATTCACCCCAGCCTCGTTTTCTTGCACAACAAGAATTTCTTGTAGGTGTCGCCCGAATTCACCCTGAAGTATTCAAATAGTATTCGCAGGCGACATCTGTGTACATTGCAAAGAAAATGACGAAATGCGGGACACATAGTTGGATAGCATCCAAGTAACAGCGCGTTAATACATTACAGTAGTGTACTGTTCTTTTTGTTGACCCTGATGGTGGATCTAGGATTCTAGGTGATGATTGAATCACCCTCTCGTTCACTGCTGGCAAATCCGGTTTCTCTCGAGGCCTTAGAATAAGTCGCGAGGGGGACAAGAAAAAAGAAAATAAAGCGGCTTCCTGTCTTACCCGCATATACCGTAAATGGAATTCGCCGGAATGGTGTTGAGGAAATCCCCCGGCCCACCCGCGAACTGTTTCAATGGACGGTGTGATTTTTGAGATGAGCAGGATTTCTACCGAAGTCGGTACATTTTGTTTTGTTTTTTGTTCTTACTTTTCCAGGTGAAGACGCTGATTAGGTCGGGTCATTGGCCAATGGATCACTCTGGACGCGGGAAGCTGTGGCCCTTCCTCGTCCGACTGGACAAGGGCAAAACGGAGATGGACTTTGAAAGCATTTACTCGGAAACCTGCTCGAAACTATTCCGCAACTACACCAAAGGAAAACCTGATTCAGATCATTTCGCAGTTGCTAGTGAGTTTCACACGCGCTTCACGTAGCTGCTGCATGTGATGAGTTTAAAAGTCAAGAAATACCACAACATCTCCAGAGTAGATAAGATCAGAAAGTTGTATTTAGATACGTTATGTGATACTCTTGGAAGGAAAAAATTCTCTGATGGCGTTTTCTGAGAGACGGGCTCAATTTACAAAAAATCAACCATAGAATTTCACATTAGCAAAGGTCATCAAGTACAAGGAAACCAGTATAAATGAAAGATAAAACACAAATGACCAGTTCGGCACAGGCAAGGGTCTCGGCATATATCAAAATAAAATTACAATAGCTTTGCAAAAAGGAAGATGGAATAAATCCAGAGCCACTAAAAGAAAGCGTATTCAGTTCTTTATGCTGTAAATGCATATCCTGGAAATCCAGATTAAAATATTAAGATCAGTAAGTTGTGTACATTCCAGTACTGTAAATCGAATGTCGACTAGACCAGTGTTCCCGAACCTTTTTTCAGGCCTGCGGACGGGCAAATTTCCACAAAAGTTTTTGCAGACCAGCAAAGTTTCATAAAATTCCTGCAGACTTGAAAGAGTTTGGTTTGAAAGAATTCATGGTAGGTTTTTAAAAAGTTCCTGCTTTTTTTTTCAAAAATTAGGTTACAAAACAATGAAGCAGCTATAGTCTTGAAAAAAAAAAATGAGAAGCATGAGCTTGAAGAAAGGTTTCTTTAAATGAAAAATTAAAATTAATTATTTGAGTAAAAGCAAATTTTTCTGAAGCGTTATTAGGAGAAAAGCCAACTTTCATTTTCTATCAGAAAATTTTAACTGCCATTGTGTTTCTGAAATTTGGACTAGACCAACTTTCAGTGAGCAATCAAAAGAAGTGCCATTTGATTATTTATAGCTCAGAGTCAGACAAGAAATCGTATTTGATTTTGAGTAGCAGTCAGCTGTGGTTCGCTCATGATTGTGTCTCGATCTTGTTCTTGACTGACGGAAGCAACAAATGCTGTCTTTTGATTGATTTGTGCAGGTACTTCAACGGCTGAGGTGCCTTCACCGTCCTCCGACTCGAGTCTGGTCAGCCTGCCTGGGTTTGTGGACGCCAAGCACCTGATTCACCACAAACTCGGGCCAGCGGGACAGCGTGCGGTGGCCCGTGTAATCGCCGTGCTGGCCTACAACAGGCCAGCCATCACGTACGCCCCGGTGCTGTATTCTCAGGCTGCCCTGCTGCTGCACTATCTCAAGGAACACGATGCCTATGCAGTCCTCAGCTATTTGACCGAGTCCAGCAAGTACATTGCTCAAACCCAGAGAGCCCATGACTTGCAGTGGAGGACTCTGATGCACTTGTGCAAGCGATACGCAGTGAGTTGTGGAGGAAAACGAGAAAACCGTTTCTCGTTGTTTGAAATCCATTTTGGAGAATCTGCGTGCTTAATTATCTACGATATGAAACGATCGAGTGGATATTTTGATAATTCATGAAGGGTTTCATTTTCGAATCCGAGTCGAGCAAAGGTGGTAAAATACTAAAATTTCGGATGAGACGAAAAGAAGAGGAAAAAAACCAATTTTTTTATATTTTTTGGGAGGTGAAAAGAGAATTTTCAAAAATCGTTTTCGGAACTTTTACTCGAGAGAGTCTTGCCTGGCACTGGAAAAATGTGTAAACGAATAATATATACTCTTGATTATTGAATATACAATCCTTTGAAATGAGGGAGAACATAGGGCTGTTAATGAGAAAGTCGGTTCTTATTTTTCTTTTGTCTGTGGATTTATTATCGAACGGATCTCACGGGGATTAACGAAGACAAAATTGCTAAGTTTTTTTTTTCCCAGACTGCAAAACCTGTTTCATTTTTTTCACAATTCTTCTCTTAAGCCTCCATAGCCATTCGTACAAATTCTACTAGGATATGTCAAGTTTTGGATGCAATAAACTAGTAACTGTTCAGAAATCACCCTGTTTCATGCACGAGAAATGCGTTTATTCTATGAGATTTTTTCTCTTGTGTTTGCAGAGATCAGCCTACAACTACATCCAGAATACTCTTCAATCGACGGAGAAAGCTGAGCGGCTTTTTGAGGGATGGAATTGGTGGATATTCAAGCATCTGCCATTTCCACATTTGGTAAATAATTAATTTTTTCTTACCTGTGTATTAATCTTGCTGGATTCGGGATATGAACTGTGTTGTTCTTCGCATTTCGGTTTTTTAGGTGCGAATTATGGACTGCTTTTTGGTGGAAGGACCGAAGGTCTTGTACAGGATAGTGTTTGCCATTTTAAATGGTTTCCACCAACGACAGAGTTCACGTTCCAAAGTCGCAGTTTTGTCCAGCGACTACAAAGCCATGGACAATGCCATTGCCGATTACTGTAGAAACATTCCTGTGAGTTTGATTGATTGATTGATTCATGTCGGGGCTGGATGAAGCGTGGGGGATGTTCATGTAAAACCTTTTTTTTGTGTGTGTGTGTGTTCGTTTCAGGTTTCAAGTGGGAAACTCTTGCAATTGGCCTTCGGAGTGCGAAGGTTTAGTCGAGACGATGTGGAAAGTTCCAAGGCAGCTGTTGAAGAGGCTCTTTCGTCTGGGGACGGAGACAATAGGACTGCGGCAGAGCTTCACAATAAGGAGACAGGTGGCGCCTCTAGGCCTCGGTCAACTGACCTTTGCATGCCGTCTGATGGAGTGGCTGGTGCTGCCAAGACGTTGACTGTGGAAGAGGTCTGTTGATTTTTTCGATGTTGTTCAGACGGTGTTTTTTTTCTATCCTGTATGGTTTTGTTTCTGGGGGTATCATGAGAATTGTTTTTCTTGCTTTTGGATTGTTGTAAAAACAGATTGATGCATTGCGGCTAACTTCGGTGAAGGATGACAGCATTGTAAGTTGGCTTTTAATTCTTGGGCCTGGGCATGCTTTCAGGATTTTTCTTGTAACCTTGTTTGTGCACAGGTTTTTTTCTTTTGAATTTTGTGAGTACTGTATTGAGCTTTCTTTGTTGGAGACGGATTATTTCCTGACATCTGTTCATATTTGTTTAGTTTAGATGGTGGAAAGGGAATGGAAAGGAACCTCATTCTGGTTTACTGTGGTACCTTGTAGTTCAAACACCCTGCACTCCAAATTTTCTATTGAACAAACGTTTGTGGTGAACATTTTTTTTTAACGCTTGTACTACAAAAAAATTTGCTTGAAGAACAAATTTATTCTGTATACAAATGAGAAAATTTGTTCTCCGTAAAAATGTGATTTTTATCAAGAATGAATTGTACAATGAACATTGTGCTTGAAGGAATCGTTTGTTGTTTACAAGGTACCACTGTATGCTATAATCTTGACAATTATTTTAGTGATGCTGAATGTCAAGGTTGCTTTTTGTCCAAATCAGGACTAACATTGAAGAAAAAGTGTCGTTGAATGAGTAGAGGCCTGTTTTGAACTCTCATTTAACTTTATCAGTGGATTTTTAATGTAGAAAACTCTTCATTTCTGTGTACGGCATGTATCAGCGTACTGTATTTGAATCGTTCCCGCGTGGGTTCAGTTATTGTAAGTCATTTTTAAAATTTTTGTTTGTCTTTTGGTCGGGACATTTTCGTCGGGATTTTCTTTCAAAAAAATAAATATTTTTTTGTTGAGCACGTAATTTAATGTTCAGTGCTGATGCTTTTACTGTACATAGATCTGGCTCGAATGAGGCTTGGGTTTCGGTTCAGCTTGCGTTTTGTTTTCCGCGCTTGTAGTTTGCGGAAGTAGTTATTCGAAGACTTGACAACCGTGTGACGGTCCGGCTGATTTTTGGTGAAAAGCTGCTGAAGCTCTGGTCCTGGATCCCGGTGAGAATGACCATGTGCACCCCGACGATGCTGTTCACGACTGAGGAGCACGGCTACAACCTCAGGCTCTTGTACGAACTGGTGGAGGAGTACGAGCCAACCGTCATTCTCGTCAAGAACTTCCAGGACGAGGTACAGTATAAAAAAAGAAAAAAATAGAGAGATCTAACCTTAGGGGTTGACTTGGAATCGAACGACGTCAAGTCAAACTCCGATAAGGGGCCAGCAAAAATATTCCAGTTTGGGAAACAGGTTTTTTTTTTCTTGGGATAAAGAAAGAATGTATGACAGAAAGTATTGTAATCGGTGATTCTCTGCTGGGCCTTTAGTTGCTTCTTGAATGAGTTGATAGGATGTTGAAGGGCTCATTTGCCCATTAAGTCTGTCACTTCCTTTAAAAATACATCAAATTTAATTTTGATTGCTTGACTCATTCATGTGTCAATAAAATAATAGCCGAAAGGCCACCAGAAAATTCAACTCATGAAGGTTTGATGAAGAAAGCCGGAGGTTCTTAATGAATTATTTCTGAGGGAATTCTGACAGGGACTTGAAAAATAGACATAGGGAGGTTTTTGACTTTCAGAGGTTTGAATTGTTGAGGTTCAGCTGTAGTTTGATTTTTGAATGACACAGATAAGGTATGAAGAATAGCGAAGATGGGCCCAGATAATATTTCCTGTACAGTATAACAAAAGAAAGTGATCGTAGTATTGAAAAGCATAAAGGGTAGAACAATAAAGATGAGGGGGAGGAAATATACTTGTTTTCTTTCAAAAATTTACAAGTACTGTACAATATCATCAAAAATGGTCTTGGATTCAGATTTTTCTCCGCAGTATTTTATTTTTCACAGGATACTGAGTTATGTTGAAAATTTTTATTCTGCAATGAAAAATTTCTTGTGATCCCTGATGGAGAAAGTGCCTTGCTTAATGTGTCCGTGATTAGTACCGATTTTTTCTGTAAGTGCAGATGTCACTGGCTGACACAATAGCATTTCAATTCGAAGTCTGAGAACGATTGGGGGTGATTATGATCTTGGTCGCAGGTGTTTGGGGCATACTGTTCGACGAGATGGAAGGAGAGAAACATGAAGGATGAACACGGAGCACGAAGGAGGTACTTTGGGACTGGAGAGAGTTTCGTGTTCACTCTGGCCCCAGAAACGAAGAAGTTTCGATGGGTGGGACTGAGTCTCATGGAGGCTGCTGCGAATTCAGCTGCAGAACAGCAGGCCTCTGTGCTTCATGCAGCAGAGTTGTTCCAGTCTGGAGACAGAGACATGCTTGCCGTTGGAGGAGGGTGAGTCATCAAATGGAGTTGGCTCACGATTTTTGTCAAGTCGCGTCTGTGCATCCCTTCTTCATTGTTGCCGATTGAATACATTTTCATCATTTCTCGAACGTTTTTGCCGACCCGGTATGAAACTCAAAGAAGACTTGGGAGTTTTAAATTTAATCCGTCGATGTAGAGAAATTAACTTCAATTGCCAAACTTGCGTGTTCAACAAATTCAAATGGGTGTACTACAATTGGAGCCATTTTTAGTAGAGAATGTCTGGAGCCTTGAAACCACGTTAAGTGAGAAAAAAATGCTTTTTTTGCGTTGGTGATGCTGAATGGAAAATTTTCAAGTGGCATTTAAACAAAGGTAATTGTGCCAAAATGGAAGAAAATTCGCAGCAGGGGCTTTCATTTAGTTAGTCATGCTCATGGTCTGTGGGTTCAGAGAACTTTGAGAACCCAGAAGGAAAAATTATATTTGCAAACGTATTATTGGCAAAAATTGTGGAACCGTTTTGTGGAGTTTTTGCCAAATTGTTTTTATTTTATAATCATTTTTGATTTTCGTTTCTATTTTATAAATTATTTTTATTTCTGCATTTTTTTCCCATCAGACAAGGAACAGCTTTGTGGCTGGACGGAGAACTGCGCTTTGGAAAATCCGAAACCTGCCAGACATTCGACAACCCACCGCTTTCCTCGGAACAGGACTTTGAAGTGAAAGTTGTGGAAGTTTTTGGGTTCACATGATGGAATCTCCTAGTTTTCACTGCGAACTGGAAGACAGTCCTGAATTTTTTTTATCCATTCCTACCTTTGTCCCGAAATGTTGAAACTGGTTTTTCTTCTTTTTTTTTTTTGCATCCTTCTATTTTAATGTTTTTTTTATTTATTTATTTTGTGGCGTGACGCGACAACAAACCGATCGCTGAGATATTTAACTTGTTTTTATTTATAAAGCGCCGAAAGTGTGACCTTTTTTGAGTGATTTCATTGAATGGTTGAGTTTGAATGTTTTTTTCTTTTTGTAATAAACTCTGGATTTTTTTGAATCTTGAAAAAGCGAGGTCAGGAAGTTGGTAAATGCTTGAGGAGATATGAGGGAGAATCAAAAAGAAAGAAGAGTTAGACTTTTGAATTGGTGTGAAACCTGTTAATCTTCCAGAATTGAAGAAGGGGAGGAAACCATTCCAGCCGTTTGGTCCAATAATGTATGCTGGCATTATTAGTGCGTGGATGATATGCGACATGCAGAAACTGCCAATTTTCGATGTGCAACCAGAGATACTCTGAAACGAGGCCATATGTTTAGGGAGAAGTGTGCAATGTCTCTTTTTAAATTTATTTTATGGTGATTCGTTATCATTAGCGTGACCCGTATGCCAGTGGGTCTAGTCATGAGCAGCGGCGGCGGCTAGAGTAGATGGAAATTCTGGGTTCGTGGGTTGGCCGGGTTGAAAAATTGGCGTGTGACCGTCGTAATTGCGAAAAAGTGTTTGCCTCTGTGTCAAAAGGAGCCCTTTCTTCCATGATCAAAGGGGCATTTATGGTTGTTCTTTTTTTTTTTGCAGTCTGGCTAGGTTTCTGAGTATACGAGGATTACGTTTTTCTTGGCTAGAGGTCGCACGCTGAAACCGAGCCGTTCAGGTACCTCAATTAAATATAGTAGCTACGTTATTACTGGAAGCCAATTAGTGAATGAAGAAGAAAAGAGCCCGGTAAAACGTCGGTGCCTCAGTCGGTATATGATGTTGCCATAGTACAACTCGTGTGTTGATCCACTTAGTTGTGCTTATATAGATGCAAGAAATTGTCCCACGCATTTGTTCGTTTGTTTTTGAAATATTTATGCTATATATTCATGCAGTGGACGGATGTTTCGGTCGTTAGGGCAGTTCTGTAACGTTTATGGTGATACACTGGAGTTCATGGTTACTCTCTTTTTTTGTAAGTTTTGTGGTGACTTGGATCTGGTCTTTTATGTTTACTTTTCTGGACATGGAAGTAAATGGTGTATGTCTTTGTATTGTGTTTTTGTCTTCAATGTGCTACAATATTTGTGTTCTATAAATGTCTGTTTCATAGCACACTGCTTATTTATACAGGTAGATTTTCCCTACTGATGCAATCTTGTCTACAATATAGCAATTCTCTCTCTCCAACACAATATTTTTCTGGATTGGTCCACACTAGATGTTGCCAAGAGTCAACTTGTATTAGCTTTATACAGTACAGTACCATTTAGACAAGCTTGTATCCCATTGCGAGTAGAAATGCGCATCACTTTCATTAATCAGACTTTTGATTTTCTTGAATGCAACATACCTGCCAGGTGCATGACTGTTGGCTCATTGTGAGAATATGTAGCTGTACAGTACTGTACTTGGATAACCAAACATGCTGTGTATATACATGCTTGAGTTCTTTGGTTCAAAGCAGAATTATTGTGTGCTGGAAGTGAAATGAATGTGATGGAGCTGATCATAATATTGTCCAAGGTATGACCTCTTATTTAATACATGATTAATGTATGAGAGTGTGCATAATATGACTTCACCATGTATGTATGTTGCAGAGCAAGTGTTATTTGAGAGTGCTGATGGGTATACAGATGTCACTTATTGCAGTCAGAATAACAACTTCACTTTTGTGGTTTATTGTGATATTAGAGGGAATGAACTGGATTTGTTGATGAATATATTGGAAGAATAACCCCTGTGCAATGTTTTAGTCAAATGTAAGCTGCCTATATCTAATTTCTGATCGATATATGCTGTCCAGCAGCATGAAACTACAGCATAACTGGTTCACAGCAATCTTGTAAGAAATTGCAAGAGCTGTGTACAGTCAACCCCCGTCTAACGGACTTGATTTGTGCAAGGGACGAGTCTGTTAGACGAAAAGTCCTTTACATGAATTCAATTACATAAAAAATTTAAAAAATTTCAATTTTTAACACTAATTTCAAACCAAAAGAAGTCTGTTTGGCAGATTTTGTCTGTTGGGTGGGAGGAAAAACTGCTTGCAAAGCTGGTCTGTTTGGCAAAAATCCCTTACACAGGAGGTCTGTTAGGCGGGGGGCCACTGTAATTTAAAAGCAAGGTACTGCTGATGACGGACATGCGGCTGCTTATTATGTCACTTAAATTAAATACAGTATGCGTATTCTTCTCTTTATTCATGGATATATACCCATCAGCAGCATGTATATACAGTATATATCATTCGAAAATCACAAGCACAATTTTGGATTACATGCATGCAGTGGATTGATCATTCTCGGCTGCTGTTGCTGCTGCTTGATGATGGTTCTCTCATCGTCAGCCAGAGGCAGATGTCATCTCCTGATAACGTCGCAACAAGGACCCCAAAATGCCTCGCCTCCTCCTGGCGTCGCTGTTGCGATCGGTGTCCGAGGGAAGACTGTCCTTCAAAATCCGCACTTGCTCTATGATGCCTGCCAGAGTGTCTCTCAGCGCCTGGGTGGCAGGCAGGGTGCCTTCTTTGAAGTTGGTCTCGAATGGGGCCAAGGCAGTCGCCAGGTCGCCCCTGTTCAATTCCCTCAGCACAGCCAAGATGGTGCTAAAGTCGACCCTGATTCTCACAGCATTGTTTCCTGATGGATGATATGATATGTATATGAGAAGCAAGAAAAATGCTGTAACAATTTTTTAAAGATAATTTTTTCTTTATATTGCAGCACATACTGTATTATACTGTGTAAGAATAATAAGCTCTGCAAGTTAAAATGGGATCCAGCATCATGTGATGCATATATATAACCCTCTTTGATGCATTATGCAAGGGTTGTCCCAGTTGGACGCGACCTCTGATATATTTTAGAGTAGGTGTGATTGTAAAAAGAAATTTCAGAACATATTATAGCCCATGATGTTATATATGCTGTATCTGTTTAGGATTAAAACACGTTACTTTTTCAATTTATTGCATTATGGCAGCATGAGAAAACTTTCCATCAGTTACAGACAGAGTTCTCCACCCATATTAGTCAGATGAGTCCAAAAAATTTAACAGGCTAGCTGAAAATGTTGTTTTTTCCTTTAAAATAAAATAAATTGACACATATATGTATGTATAAGTGGGAAAATTAATCAGCAGTTGGAATAAAATTTGCCAGTGAAAACGAACTAAAATATAATATACCTTGTCTGCCTTTTCTGGCTTCAACATCAGTGACAGCCATGATGACAGCAGCACCCAAGATGCACAACAGTGGCAAAATCTTAGCCATGATGTCGTCTTTTTTTTTACAATGTATATAGTCTCAAGTATTTTTTCGAAATTCAAAACACTATCAACTGCAGCTAAGTTTCTGAACAAAAGACTGTGAGCGACTGAGTCTCCAAGGCTGGCATTTTCGCGTTCAAAACCACTTACCAAGTCACACGTGAAATGTCATCATGACTCGCTCGGATTCTTTCAAACCGTAAACTCAGTTGTTTTTTTATTTTTTTTTTGAGCCATCGTTCTTTTGTTTCGGCTGATGACGACGTTGCTGGCATCATCGTTCTTCTGTCCTCGTTTCTTTTTGTGCTTTTGATGCCGATGAGCAAGTAAACGCGCGATGAACATCAGCTAGCTATAGCAACGCCTGCAACAACTACGCAAGCTTGACATCTGTCACGGAGAAGTGCGCAACTGCGTGGTTTCATTTCAAAACATTGCCACAGATGTCGCGCGAAGTTCGTTAACCGGCTCCCTAAGCTTCATAATCGCGCGTACGTCATTTCCTTTAAAACAAAAAAATTGCCTTTCGAATTGTATTTGCTCTGCTGGTTCCCTTGCCCCCCCCCCTTCCCTTCACGCACTGCGCCAAATAATTATGCCACGATTTTTGAAAACAAGAGAGGGTCGAACAAAAACAAGGAGGGGGGAGACGAAGAATAATACGGAAAGGTGGAACAGAAATCAGCGAAGAAAAAGGGCGAAATTGTTTTGCTCCCTTCACTCATAAAAAAAACAGGATTGTTTTTCATGCCCTTTGGACCCCTTCGAAAACTGCATAATTTACATCTCTCCCTTCTTCTGCACGTCGGGGGGATGAGAGTGAGGCAAGAAACGCATTATTATTTGCGCAGCACTGTTATGCAAATATCCGACGGGGGCCGCGCAAAAATTCCCATTAAAAAGTAGTAGGTGTATTCGGAAGGGCATTTTGTTATTATATACTGTACTGTACTTTTGAAAGGAACACTTCTGTAAATAACTTTATGATTCCCCAGCAAAGCTCTTGTCTGCTGATCTCTCAGCAGGGGCATGTTTGGCTTTTTCATCATCAGGCAGCAGCCCTTTCCCATAATATATATCCCAGCATCACCAGCAGCCACCCACCAAGAATTTCAAAATTTGCATTTCATATTTCTGCTTGACTCTGGAACATTAATCTTGCATCTTTGCCTTGCAGGAAAAAAGACTGATAATCACGGAAATACATATACCAGCACTGGGAAGGAAGTACAAAAAATCGCCAGGTATTTTCAGATCTCCCTTGGAAAAAAAATTGCACAAAAGAATGATGGAAAGGTCAATGATGAGGGCGCATTTTTGTACCCGGACAGAAGATGATGGATCCTTGACAGGAGATCAGTTGAGCCTTTTCAGTCCTTTTTTATATATTTTTTTCTATTCTTGCTGGGTTTGAGCTGGTGTCAAGGTCAACTTGACCCTTGCAAAGAAAAAAAACCACTTTTGCGCACACAAAGCCTAGATTTTTGCACAGATACTCCATACCTGTGTCCCCCTCACCCCTAGAGTCCTTTTAACCACCTGCCTGGGGGCTTCCACAGAATTTCATGCATTTGTTTGAGAGCCTCACTTTTTTATTTAATAATACAGGCCAATAAGGATAACATTTAGAATTTAAGAACAATATAAAAAGGTGCATGTTGCCAAAATGGTACAAGATAATTTGATACATTTTCCATGATGGTTGAAATTATATTTTTGGACAGACTTTTTCAGATGCCCCTTCATCCCCAGCTAAGGGGGAAAAATGTTTGCTTTAGCCCAGTCCTTTTTCCTTATTCTTCTCCTTCATTCTTGTGTCCCCTTCTTTTCTACTGATGTGGTGTATTGACACTTATCCATCATTGGCTCACAAAAGGAAAAAGGGGATGTGCTACTGGACCAGCGTTTCATTATATTCCATCAGGAAGACCTGTCATCTGATTAAGAAAACCCCTTTTGTGGACTCTTCTTCTTCTTCTTCTTGGTATTCCTGGTACCACCACCAGCACCTGCTCCTGATGGGGGCTTCTTTTTCACAGGTGGGAAAAGCGATCATGATGATGAAGGATTTCCTGTGCATCCTTCAATCTTCTATGTATGATGTACAGGACAGAAGAAGGGGGAGAGAAAAAAAGAAGAAGAGGAAGGATGGCTCTTGTCCCGTCCGAGATTCCAAAGATTTCCACATTTCCTCCTCGACGCAAACAAATGGAAGTTACAAAATATGCACGGTTCAACTTTGCGGAGAATATCGTTATAGTTGAATTTCTCCTTGGTTGTGACTGGGAGCGCCATCAAGCGAGGCCCGCGCGAAGTGAAAACAGGAGTGCGCCGCGCTGGTTGCCGTATAGCGTATTTAATGAGTATAAAAGCATCTTTGGAAATTTGAAATCAAGATTTTCCTTTTCAAAAACTGCACAGCCTGAAAGTGGCAGTTTTCTATATTTTGAAAAAGTTGATTGTTATTTTATTGGGAATGCATCTAAAATAAAAGCACTTTTCTGTAATTTATCCTGAAACCTTGCTAAATAAATTTCCTGGTCAAGTCTCTGCGCATAACACAAGATGTGTCCCCATTTTTCTTTATGCAGGACTTTTCTTATCCCATCATGTAAATCCATCAACCATTTTTTCAGGCTTATTCCTTGTAATTACAGGTGGACTGTCTCTTCAACAAAAATTGAGGGTTAAATGTTCCAATCTTAGAAAGTGTTTTCTTCAACACAATTCTCTCTGGATTGGGTTTTTGTCTGCTAGCGCAAATTCATTCAGCAGCTCAAGGTCAAGAATATGACCAATTTCATTTTCGGCAATATTATTTTTTTATTCCTCACCAAAAATGTTGGGTTACTGATGATCTCAAAATCGTCCCAGGTCTATTTTGTGAATCTTTTTAAGTTTAATTAATTGTAAATTGCAAAGCCATTCTTTTATCAGCAGCCGTAATTGTAACTCATCCCTTCCTACAATTTTTATTTTTTCATTACCAAATGCGCTGGTTTTCTCATCTCAAAAACTTCACAAGTCAATTTTTTGTCCTTGTAAGTTTGACAACAAATTTTAGGTTTCCTGATGGGCAGCCATAATTGTCATTCCATTTGTGTAACTTATACTCTTCATTCCTCTCCGAAAGACAGTTTCTGTATCTCAAGAATGTCCCAATTCTATCGTTGTGGGTGTTTTTGAGTTTAAATGATTTTAAATTGTAAAAAACTATTTTTTGATGGGTAGCCATATATAATTGTAATTGTATTCCTGATGTAAGCTATTGCTATAGTTTTTTTTTATCTTCAGCAAAAATGCTGGGTTTCTTATCTCAAAAACTTATTGACAAGACGATTCTCTTTTTGTATGCGGATCTTTGTCAGGTTGACAATAAATTATGGGACTGTTTTCCTGATGGGCAGCCATATATAATTGTAAATCCATTCTTGTATTTTTCATTCTTCATTTCTCAGCAAAAAGCTTCATATCTCTCAAAAAACAGGTTTCCGTATTTATCTAAAAAAATATTCCACTAAGTCTGGGCCCTTGTGAGTTTAATTGATTGTAAATTTAAAAAAAATTATTTTTTGATAGGCAGCCATAATTTTACTTCCATTCCTATAATTTTTTTCCTTCTTCATCATAAACTTCTAAATTCGATCTTTTGGTTGTTTGAAAATATCTCCGTGAGTTTGACAGCAAATTGTGGGGTTATTTCTTTTTTGTGTGTTTTCCTGATACGTATATACGGGCATCCAGAGTGGCAGCCACCTGATGTAGCTCTCAGCGCGCGCGGCGCCACACCAACATCATCCAGCCTGCCGCAAGCAGTCGCCCTCGCATCAGTCCTCGTCCAACGTTCAGCCAAGACACAACGCGTTCACGTCGAAAGTCCGAGAAAAAAAACAAAAACAATTGAATAATTGCTCGAGTGATGATGTGTGGGTGTCCTCTTACTGTACATTTTCGCACGCGGACGTTTTTCTGGGCACGTACTGTCGTTAATTAGTGTCATTCTCTCTCTCTATCTCTCAGATCATATAAGTGCAGTAATTGCTGCTGCGAGGGAAGAAAAAAAAAGAAAGAAGAAAAAGTGCTGCTGCTACTGGAGAGTGGTTTTGAATGTGTGACAACACGGATAATTATCGCCTCATTCATCAGTCGTGACGGGACAGTGAATATACAAGGGTGGGATGTTATTGTGCTGCTGATTATCTGGACAAGAATCTGCACTTCCGAGGTCTCAATAATCCCCAGGAGGAGGAGGATAATGAGGCGTCGCAGTAATTAGGCCCTCGTCGCACTGCTGCTGCTGCTGCCGATATACACAGTATAAATCTAACCGGTGAGTTACGCTGCAAAACAGCACGTCGTGACCCCGTCATGAATCAACCACCTTTTTAAATTTTTTTATTTTTTTTTACATACAAGCATAAAAAAATCAAAGAGGGCGATGATTGGTGAATAATTAATAAAACAACGAGGGTTGGTTCAGAAGTGTTGAGACTTTTTGATCCAACGGAGTTTCAGCAATAAATTAAAAAAATAATTCGCATAGGCCCCATTATTTGGCAACACTTTGGTGCTCTTCTACAACATATGCAAATCCAGCCATCAAAAGCGATGTTAATTGGGAACAGCCAGAATAAGTCACAGGGTGCCTATATATAATGAATTAACTATCAGATTTCACTTTTGATTGATGAATTTACTGCATGAAAAAATCACAGCACTGAAGTGTTGCCAAATTTTAAGGTTATGAGAGTAAAAAAAAAAGGAATTGTTGATTTTCTTTAATTGGATCTATTTCAAAAAGTATCACAACTTATGAACCAACCCTCATATTAATTAATTAATTAATTATTTACCAATCATCACACCTTTTTTTCTCCAAAGTGGCGATGATGGTTTTCAATTATGCTGCTGGGCGATAAAGTAAACAAGTTTCATCACAGTAAACACTGAAGAGGGGGTGGGATGAAAAAGAAGAAGGTTGAAATCGGTGTTGAGATTTTCTTTTTTTCCCACCCACGAATCCGAGTCCTTGAGTGTTTGCTTTCTTTATCACCAGGAGGTGGGAAAAAACATGGGATGTTTCCTGCTGGCAAGATTTTTATTTCCTTCTCCCTCTTTCTCATCTGCATATATATGCAGTGTTTGTGTGTGTGTGTGTGTGAGGAAATGAGATTCCCATCCATGTTGCAGCACAGCACAGGAGGGGGGAATGAAAACATTTATTCCAAGTGGTTATCTTCTATGTATAGAAGGACTAATACTAAAGTATACAGTATACATATCTGCATACATATTAGAGGAAGTTGGTTTTATAGGGACTGGGATTTTGACACCTCAACACTGTCTGACATGAGTGTGTGTTTTTGTGTGCGAACAGGCAATAGTTTGATGAAGAGAGGTTATGACAGGAGGAGGGGTGTGGGGGAGATAAGAGTCTTCTTCTTCTTCTTCTACCCTTGATGTGTGAGTTGACAAGTTGACAAGATAAAGCCATCATCACACTATCTCATGCAAGTGTCAAATTCTGCTGAATGCTGTGGTGTGATTATATAGTCCTGCATGATGATGGTTGCTGATGCATGCATGCATGCATGTATATATACTGCTGTGCATGCTGGGTGGTGCTGGTCAGCACAAGTACAGCCAGGTCTTGTTGGGGTTCATTCAACCCTCTTGCTGGCCTCCCTCCGTCCCTTCCTCCCTCCCCCCCCTCTCTCTCTCTATGAACCATTCTTTTTGGTCAAGACAACATGCAGCAGCAGCAGCAGCAGACTCCTTATGATTTTTTCCTTTCCTCCTCTCCCCCAAATTTTTTTCTTAAATGATTATACTGTACCTGCTTCTGGTTCTCAGGCCAAATATTGGCACACTGACTCGTCTAGGAGTGGTGAGTCTGCGCATATGGATGAAAGGCCAAGCTTTGTTTTCTGACTCTGCGCTGGACACCAGGTGTCACTCTGGCATATTTGCGCATTGGGCAAACATTTGTCCTCTTCCCTCCCCCATCTGTCATTTCATAGTACAGTACAGTATTTGCAGGAAAGGGCCAGGGGAATTGTGTAAAAGTGTGTGTGTGTGTGTGTGTCTTTGCTGCTGTATTATGGCATTGAAATTCTTTTGTTTTGTTTTAATGGGTGTAATATGTAGAGTTTGAAAGAGACAGCAGGATGTTATTGAAAGCATTTCTGTGTGTGGGAAATTGATTATTCATTCAGTCCTGCAATTCAAAATGCTTTTTTTTGGGTCCAAGTGTAAGATTTTTTATTTAATGGGTGCATAATTTACAGATCAAGCGCATTTTCCTTGAGGTAATTCAAGATTTATCTTGAATAATTGGTTACTTTTGAAATTTCAAGAACATTTTTTAATTTTTGATTTTTTTGTCACAGTAAGGATGGTTTTTGTACTATTCAACAAACCCTGAAGCAGTTTCCTAAAAAAAATGCATGAGATATTACAATCTTTACAGAAAATAATTCCATGTTTCCATAATTCAGTCTTGAACAAATAAAACAAGATATTGAAAATACCTTGTCATGAAACATTATTCAATCTGCATTTGCTTAGTCACCCAGGCTATATTTTGCATTATTTTCATGTTTTCTCCATGATGGGGATTCATTCTGAAATGTTTTCCATGCTGGAATCGCTTCCGTGTCTTGCTTTTGGGCTTTGCCCTGAGGCAAATGTCAAAAAAGTGGGTTCCCGAAAATCTGTGGGAAATGTTTCGGAGGCTTTTTTCCACGCGCAAACAAAATGAGAGTGATTTTGAGGTTTTGAAAGGGGTTTCTTTTTTTGCTGACAGTTGCGAGACTTGAAATAACTTTCACTTTTCCCTGCTGGGACGAGGTTCAACATAAAATTCAAACGCTTCCGAAATTAAAAAAAATTATTGCGTTAATTTTCGTCCATAATGGCCGCTTAAGAGAAACATTGTGGCAGTTGACCTTAAGTTTTATGATTCACACTACTGAAAGCCTGATTTCTCTCTCTCTCTCTTTTTTAGATTATTGAAAAATTCTAATTCATACAGGACTAATATTCAATAAATAGTTGACAAAAACATAAAAATTGAGTTCAAGCACCAGAAATCCCAAAAAAGGGGGGGGGGCGCAACCAAACCTTATTTATTTCTGAAGCATGAACAAAATGGGGTGGGAAAATTGCCTGCACATACTTATAAACTGCTGGAGAGTGAAAAAAAAAACTTGCGGTTTTCTTTTCCGTTCATTAAAGCAGAAACCAGAGACCAGAAGAAAAAAATATTGCCTGAGGGGAAAAAAAAAAAAAGGGTGGGATGGAGGGAGGAAAATAGCTTCATAAGTTTTCGCATTCCTTGGCCGTAAATTTTTGCCTCAGCACAAGAAAAAAAAAGAAAAAGAAAAAGGATGATGAAGTAATCATCACCTGCGTGAAAGGCACATTATCTCTCCTGTCCGTTGTTCAAGCAGGTGTTGTCAGTCAGCAACAACCGTGAAGTATACAGTACAGCAGCAGCAGATATCCAACTCTGATCTTGTCTCTCATATATGGTTACTTGTCTTATCATTATTTTTTCTGGCAACCCTCCCCCTTCCCCCCCCCCCCAAGAAAAACGCCATCTTCAAACATGATGATGAACCTTCAAATGGGTTGGAACAATTTTTTGATGAATTTTTTTTGTTTCAAAAATTTTTTTTTTACACATTCTTGGGGATTTATCTTTTGATGCAGGTGGAAAGTTTGTGTTTCAAAATTGTTATTGGAACATTTTGGAGAGGTTTTTTCATTTGCTGTGGCTGTTGATACAGATGTAAAGCATTTTTAATGCAGATTTTTTTTCTGGCATATGTTTTGAAAGGATTACTTCGGCTGTGGCTTCAATTTTTTGAAATATTTTGGGAAGGGTTTTCTTTTGCTTTGGTTGTTGATTCAAGTGGACTCCCCTTACAACAATCTTATCTTGAAAAATTTTCTCTGTACAATGAGTTTTTTTGGTGATCCCAGCACAGGGTTCTTTTCCAATATTTAATCTAGGGGTTCCTACCAAGAAATTCTCAATTTTTCTGGGTGCTTGGATTTTGTTGAACAGAGAGTCCAACTGTATAAGGGGGTGATTAAAACATTATTGTTTCTGATGTATCTTATGAAATGAAGATGTTTTGGTGCTTCAGTATGTCATTCAAACTTTTTGACAAGAAATAGAACAGTGTGCCATTTTTTGAGTGTGCCAAAATTTTAGAAAACCTTTATTGCCAGTCCATAAAACATTTTGTAGTTGAAACTGCGCCAGTCCGTAAAAAATTTTATGGAAATTTGTTGGTTCAAAATTAAAAAAAAAAGGAAATTCCCCAGTCTGCGGGCCCAAAAAGGTTGGGGAACCCTTGTTTAGAGTACCTTAATTTTCAGGATTGAGTAAATTATTTTTTAATATCTAACAATGAAATCACCCAAATGGCAAATCTCATGCATGATCCAACCATTGCACATTCAAACTGTCCACAAAATTCATTCAGAGCACCATCAAGAATTAAAAAAAGAAGCTCTACTTGAGAAATAATTTTTTGGTTCAATAAACGATTCACCAGCAGCATGGAATGAAAAATGCACCTGTGCTGCGTTGGAAAATTGGCTCAGGCCTGATTATTAATAAACGGTAGAAAAATAATTATAATGCATCATTACCAACATATACAGTACAGTATATACATATATAGGTATACTGTATTATTTTTTCATTCCTTCCCACCTGTCTGATGTACATAATATGGATGCAAGGAATTTCGCTGGTCCCTTTGGCTGAATAAGGGAAACAGGATGCGTGTAGTTATCAAGGCATCATTTCCTTGTTACCATCACCATGTCAGTGGCCCCTTTGGCCCCATGAGTCATTATTATACACACCCTCAGGCTGATTCCGCAGGAGATTTTCGAAACCAGAAATTATAAAAAAAAAAATAGAATGGCTGGAAATTTCCCGCATTTCTCGCAAATCAATTTTCGACGTCTTTAGTCATGCGAAAGGGTGTTAAGAAAAAACATTAAGTTATTGCAATTTTAAAAAATTTCCTGCTGTGTGAGAAATATATTTTAAAATTTTCGCCACGATTCACGCAAATTTTTCATTTTTTTCGTGCCCGTTCAAATTTTTGTTCAAAATCAAAATGTAATTCAGAAAAAATCTGATGCCCTGAAAAAACGAACTTCCAAATTAAAACAAATTTAGTTTTTTTATATTTCCCGAGGAAAATGAAAATTTTGCGCGCTTCTCGGAACACATATAATGATCAAAGGAAGTAAGGTTACGTGGAAAGGGGCATCTTCTTTTGTTTTTATTACACGCTGAGATTT